TTTGGCAGGGGAACGACTCGAAAGAGCGCCGTGTACACGCATTTAAGCCAGGCCCTAACAGCAGGATCAGCCCAATGTGTTTGTGCAGAGTGGCCGACTGGCGGAGTGAGAGTCAGGCAGTAGTGACTCCTTCTTAATGTTACCTTTGGCGAGGGGCTCCCCCCCCCAGTGGGATCCGAGCCAGATGTGGCCTAGGAGCGGCTCCGGCCGTGTCATGCAACTGCGCCCATAACGTCTTATTGGCTTAGTCATGAAGCTGTGGCCAGATGGGAGAGAGTGTGCGTGGTAGATGCAGCGCAAGTTTATCGCCACTAAAAGTAACGCCCACGCAAGTCACTGGGTTTGCTTTTAGCTTACTGTCAACTAGGACGCAGCAGAGCATATCACACACACAGAGACACAGGTGATTGGAAGATAGGGTAGATAGGTGTGCGGCAAGCGAACTACCAACATACCGTGTACAGACGCTGCATCAGCTCCAGCGCGCTATGCATTGCGTCGACGATGAGTTTCCTCTGTCAAGAAAAACAAAAAGAGAGATATTAGACAAGGAAAGAGAGCGAGAGGTGTTCAATACTAGGCGCAAGATAAATTTAAAAAAACATTGACTAAAAAAGCAATGCTCAAAGCGAAAGAACTACGACCAAGAGGAAAACGAATAAGAAGGCAGCACTGATAAAATAAGGGCCTCGTAACAACTTCAAGCCACCTGACAAGTAAGCAGGGATTCGAAAGTTGCATGTTATAGTGGAATATACACAGAGATACCCCCATTGAACCGGTCACACTGGCGGATAATCTTGCGTGCGCCATGAGGACCATCACTGCCGGCTCCTTGATAACAATGTACTTACTTGTACTTGTTACGGCTGTGATCATGCCTGATCTAGCTGGCCTCGATGATGTCACGGACGGTACCTCTCCATGCGTGACGATTGGCGGCAACGGATCTGGAGAGCTCTACAGCAGTTTCTTCTCCGGCGCCGGAGACCGAATACCGAAGGTCCAACAACCACTTCCATGTCCTGACGAACTGAGTCAAGCCAGATTTTGAGTTGATCCCCCTTCGACGTTTCCGATTAGGCAACAGTTTAAAGTCGAGGGC